ACTATTACTCTTTCTTTTTTAGTTTGTTAAGTAGTTCACATGAGTTTTCCATCTGAAAGAACGATCCAACATTCTTCCCAAATAGTTAATTTCATTTACTGGTCTTATTGCGAATGAAATTTGTTTGGTTATATCATAGTTTGAAAGAGATGTCTCAAAGCTACCGAATGGTTAGTAAACCATTTTTTTTCAATTTACCGATAATAGTCTGTAGTCCAACCATGTTTCAATTTTGGTAAAATTCCTTTCAATTTTAATTTTCAAATTGTATCAGTTTGTGTCTTTATAGATTATCACAGTATCATCGGCGAAGCTGATATTTTGACCTTTTTTCTCCAATAGAAATATGTTATTCATATAAATTGTGAATCTCAAAAGACCCAATACCGTTCCTTGAGGTACACCACATGTTACTACCTTTGTTTGGCTGATTTCATTATTTATTTTGACCTGTTGATAAAGTTTGATGAAAATGGATTTAACGTTGGTTAACGCGTAAACGTGATCTATGACAAACAAATTTTATTCATATCTTAATAATATGAGTCTAGATAAATAATTCCGTTTTTATTTCTTGACATGTAACCAAAATTTTGAAATTTATAAACAGGGTCATAGGGTTTATGGTTGTTTTCTATTCGACTCCTTGACTAGCAGTTGAAATGTAATCAATAAAATTGCGAAATCCCGTTAATGTATCTTATCACTATTTATTTAATTGCATTCAAACATCGATAATATGTATGAGCAGAGTAATGTTTTTGTTGATAATTATATAACCTAGTTCGCTCTAGACTGAATCCTCATTGTAGTTTATTTACTATTCGCATGTTCCATTTTACAGAATCTGCTCGAATGCTATATTTTACATAATTATGTAATGAATGTGTTGAACAGTAGTGGACAGGACCGGATTACCCCTAATGTCAACACCTACGACAGAAAATTCAAACCTCCCTTATCAAAGATATAAACGAGGGCCACCACGGCGATCTGTTGCGAAGCCAAGCGTTTACATCTTTCGCCGAATGAGAAAGGGGTTCCTACTTGCGGTGAAAGCTGCTAAGAAAGACAGAAAGTAATTTCTCTTTTGGCGGTCAATGTCCACGCTAACTCAATGCAGATTTTTTTTTGGAACAGTTGATTCAAACAATGATGAGTCCAATGGGCGGAAGTACTGTACGGAGTGGTGGCCACGCGAGCTTACCAGGGCACACCAAATCCAAACATTAAAGACTATGGCAATGATATCCTTTCATTGCCATAGTCTTGATGATTCATCCCTACATTGAGAGCAATAGCAAACACAGCCTAAAGAACAAATTTTCATATTACGAAATATGGTTGAAAATAATAATTATGTATCGGAAGTTTGGGGACAGACCGCGAATACACATATTGAGGTGATTATTACGTACGGAATGTTATACGAGGAGTCATAACAAAAGCCACCACATAGACGAACGACTCATTTATTTTGCAGACGTATGACAGGTCGAAATAGCGTAATTTGATGATGGACAACGAATGCTTTGCTTTTTGGGATCTGATTCCATCTAATTGCCGATAAAAATTAAACAATAGTGCCCAGTTTGTTGGTGTTTGCAATTGTAGTTCGATCATCTACATCAGACACTGCTTCTTCCTGTTAATCTAATAAATAAAACATATTTTCACATTCACTTAACACTCACTCATTCGTCTCTATTTCTCCGTACTGGTGAGTCCTAGGAAGCTAAAATTTGGTATATAGGTGCTTCTTAAGTCTCAGATGCGCACTAGGGAAGGCTTTTCGAATATTCAAACTGGGGCGCCCAGGGGGGGTAGAAGGGGCGCGTTTACATATGGATATTCCCTTTTATTTCCGGTGGGTGAATTTATATTCAGTAATGGCATTTTACCCGTACGAAGCTGGGGCGGATCGCTAGTGTGAATATAACGAAACTCAATTCTTTCTCTTTTCTGACCATTGAAAATTGAATTGCAAGAACTATGCCTTCGTTAATTTTCGAAACTGTATTTGAAAACACATATTTTGTAATTTTAACTTTCTGCCACTTACAAAGAGCTTTATTCGATCTATCAAATATTTTATAATTTAACACCTCTTCTTTGATTTTCAATCACAGTTTATTGTGTAACTGCTACCATGCCCCTCCAGGGTTGAGATCCTTTAGATAGAATCCCTTGAAACTTGAAGTTCCTTAGAGTGTTTCGATCCATATCCGAACCGTTTATCAGGTAGGATTTTCAGTTCCTCAGTCTGGTCTTTTCATTCGATGCGGCCAAACTTATCGGCCGATGATTGTCAGGGACTATGGGGTTCTTGTTTAGTTTTAGGATCATAATGACCGTGACCTCCTTGAAAGATTACGGGAAGTGTTTCAGCAAGAGTGTAACGTTAATGATGTTCTTCATTGCCGCTACTCCGTTCCTAGGTAGGGATTTTAGTGAACGGTGGTGGATGTAAATAAATTACTTACTAGAAGTGAGTTACCGGTGGTAGGTCTCAGCAACTTGTTTCTGGTTTATTGGTCTTCATCAGTAATATATTCATTATCAATGATTGGAAACATTTAGTTGCAACGATTCATGAACTTACGAAGTCAGTATTATCTGAATTTTGTTTGGTGGGTACACGAGCTATACTTGAAATTTACGAATTTTCACTTCACTTAAATCAAAAGACGTTTTTCAGAATAAATCAAAGATTAAGAATAAGTGTTAGGAATCACACGTTAAAAGGTAAGACCTCGTTATTCCTTAGCTCGCACAAGTTTCTCCACTTCTGAGAGTTGTCGTTCGTATGGGGGCAACAGCTGATTAACGAAAAAACAGATTTAAACAGACAGAAGTAATTAAATTTGTCTAGGAATGTTATTGCATTTCAATGGAATCCAAACAAACGGATTCATCTAAAACAGAAACAACTTCTCACGCGTTTCAATGAGTATTTCACTAAACAAGTTGATGTGATCAGAAAATGACTGTTATTAGTTTTGCAGTTCAGATCATCTACTGTTCAGATTGGATTCATGTTAAGAGGACCAGAGGTTCCAAACATTGAATTGTTTATTTTTTATTTATTCACAACTAACTTAAAACTGATAAAAGTAAAAATATCACAACCCACATATCTCTCAGAGAGACGCTGAGAAGCTGGAGAGGAGAAGTAGGTAAGTGTGTAAGTATAGCTCTGTTACGCCAACAACACAAAGTACGAAAATCGCTTTTAGAAAATGCCAAAATTAGGTGGTACTTTTTAGGTGCTTTTTGGTCAAAATTTAGGTGCTCTGTAACTTAACCAAAACTGAATACTCAAAGTTGCGTTGCTAGCATTATGTGATGCTAGCAATGCAATGGAAATAATAATAAAATAATGAATGTTAAGGGAACACTATTAGGTGCTAATTAATAACTGCTAAACGGTGAGGATCGTCGGTCGGTAGCCGGGCGGTTCGACGTGGATGCTTTGTTCACTCAGTCAATCGGCCGATGTGTGAGTCGATGATTCAAGCCCCAGGCTGAACGCTCAATTTTCACTTGCTATCGTCCAACCCGTGTTAGGAATCACACGTTAAAAGGTAAGACCTCGTTAATTCATTATTTTATTATTATTTTCATTGCGTTGCTAGCATTATGTGATGCTACTTTGAGTATTGAGTTGCGGTGTGAGTTACAGAGCACCTAATTTTTGACTTCGGTACCTAAAAAGTACGTAATTTTGGCATTTTCTGAATGCGATATCCATACTTTGCGTTGCTGGAGTAACAAAGCATGGAAGTATTTCTATGTATAAATATTTTCTGACGCCCCTGCCCTGTAATGCAAACTTTGTTCCTACGGAATAAAGTACGAACGAAGCTCTAACAAGAGACACTGTGAAGTTGACTTCGGGAAAAAACCCTGAAAATCTCAAGAACTATACAATAAACTCCAATAACTAATTCTGTCATGCCCTTAGTCCCGTTTATGTTCGTATCGCTCATGAAATAGATGAAGTGATTCATAGATTAACCCTCTATCTGATTTTAAAAGGCTCTGGTAATGTTCCACTCCGACTTTTTGGTGAAAAGAACTTGGAGCACATACGGCCAAATCGCCCAACACAGTATGTGACAAATTTCACACCAGCCAATAGATCAGTTACCACTGATGGCGTTATAATCATGTACTCCTTTTTGAATGTATTCTTAATTTTAAAATGTTTTTTTTTTCATTGTTACCACACTTTCCCGGTACCTTAACACTCGAGTAACTGTATTCTCCATAATATAAGAACATAAGGTTTCGTGGTCAGAGTCATGATTGAAGAGTACAAAATCCGAGCTGATAGGCCGTAGTCGAACGGAACCTGAGGTACCAAACGTTTTTTCTACTACAGAGGCATACATCATAGGTGATATATGCCTAGACTGCGGAATATATATTTCGAAGTCTCAGCAACGACTGGCTGACACATACCACTGAGGATGTCTGCCGTAGAAATAGATGAAACGTTTCCATTCGACCAATACCTACCAGCCCGGATTTGGTTAAATAAAATCACTTATCTCTACTTTATGCTAGTTCAACAGGCTTTCTGTTCAATACTTTCATAGAAAAAAACAGTTAATTGAATAGTGCAATTATTGTTCAAGCATGTATTCCATATTAAAACAAACTGAAAAAATTATTTCAGGTCATTTCATCTCCGAATGAATGGGGTTTATTTCTGTCTTGGCAGCGAAAAATTTTCGTGTTCAGTTATTTTACCAAAAACAATATAATAGCATCTCCTCAAAAAAAATCTCAACAATTTTGATTGGAATGTATGCCAAAAATTCAAATTCGATATAGCAAGAAGATGACCCTACCTACTTAGCGCTCGTAGAAAGTCCAATACTGAAGACTGTTCTTCCTCAACACTATCAGACAAATCTTTTTTGACGCCAATATCAGTAAAAATACAATCAGTTATTCAACAAAATATGAAGATTAAAAAAATTTCAAAATCCAAAAATGTTTTCTCGCTATTTATTTCAAATGCAACATAATATGATAATAATAAGCAAAAAATAAAAGAAGAGACTTTTGACATTTGCTATCTCAAAAATTTTCTGACGAAAGTAGGCCAAACGTAGGAAGCTGAATGAATTTCATCGTTGTAATACCGCAGTTCTAGCTCTTCAATTTGTTTTTCTGTAAACTTAAAAACTGGTTTCTTTAAATCTATTGAAGCGTCGAGAGTAGCAACCATATATCCAAGTTGTCCATCGGTATAGCTGGGAACACTGGACGTGGCATAATTTACAACAGGAAAATGTTTTCTGCAGTTTTCCATGGTTTTCTTCATGTGAGGTAAATCTAACCATATGGAGCCAATTTGACAGCTGATGATACCTGCAAAACAGAAACTTGGTGATAGATATTGAGCAGGTTATCGACAACCAGTAAACTAAAATTTACATATTTAATGAAATTGGCTTATACTTGATGAAAATCCACAAAGTATCCATATTCGAGTTTGATTTTTCGAATTTTGTTCTCATGGATCTTTTGGTGGTTCCGATGTCTAACTTCTCAGTGAAAGATACCATGACTCTATTTGAAAACACACGACTCATTGCCCTCAACCAGGGATACCATAGCCATCTGGTACGGGAGGCAATAGACATCCACAAACATACTGATAATTTCAACAAAAAAGAAGCTGTGACACACAACCGAATATGGACTCCCATTCTTAGGAGTTCAAGAATGGCAAACAGCACGACGACAGGTAGAGAAGGGTCGACGAATGTTATTGACAATTTACCTAACCTAGGTACAGGTGTTATCACACCAGACTACCTGAGTCAACATAAACCAGCTTTACGCAATTTGACTAATCCAAGTACAGGTATTAGCACACCAAAGTACCTGAGTCAATATCAATACGCCTCACGTAGCCGTAATATCCAGGCATCAGAGATTAACACAGGATGTATGAACCTATTCCATTTGTGCGGCTAATTCAATTTCCACATTCAATAGTAGGAAAGGGATCTTTCCAGCAAAGTCTTACTTTGTTATTTGAAGAAGACTATCACTTTCATCTGTCAAAGTTAAAAATAAGTAATTACAATGAATACGTCACAGAGATTCTCGTTGAAGCCGTAGAAGTGTAACATTTATAACTATCTCCCGATTGCGGTGAACCATTGATCTCCAATCCTAACCAACTTTCCACGTCGTTCAGATAAGTCTATGTCTTCCATGTTGTTGAGAAAGGCCTCATCCTTTTATAACTGCTGCTTGATGTGCTTTTTTATGACATATTTCTAATGACCAGATCTATCAACAGGGCAGATGGCTAGTCGATTTTGCCTCTTGGCATCAACACAGGGTGTTCTTATATGTGATAAATATTTTCAAATTTGTTTATACGCCTCGTTCATTTCTGAATCTACAGTGTGGTCCACTAAGTCTGCAACAAATGGGAAACTTTTTTATTATCGATTTCTCAGAAAATTTTATTCATGACAAAACTTAATGCATGTTCCAAAACTATACCAAGTGTACCTGAAATGGCTTTATGACAAACACCATACAGGATAGGCCAAAAAATATAAAGTTCGTTCAAGAGTAAAGTACCCTTATTTCAAAAAACATAAAAATATGTTGAAGAGAAAAGTTGCTTAGAATTAAAAATTATGTTCAGATACGAAGTCATGGCCTGCTATTCATTTTTTTCTTCTTTTAGAAAATTTTGAATTATGATACATATTGTTACTATTTTAATTCAATATGTATTTGAAATAGCCACAATCAAATCAGTTTGGAGTATTTTTTATCAAATTAAAGTGTATTTGTAAAATTTACTTGGATTTGTATTTTTTTAGGTGACCGTCAACTTCATGTTTGTTGCAACGATATTTAACAGAACTCTAGAATAAAACAAATACTCTTTTTAACGATGCAAATACTTTACTAAGCATAATGTTCATATGAATAAACTGATGTCAAAATCTATTGCGGATAGTCATGAACAAAAAAGAACCAATAAGCGATAGTACAGAAAAATACAGTAGGTAACTCAACAGATGCTAACAATAAAAATTATCGAAGCGTCTCTGTATGTCCACCTTCACTTTCGATACTCTTGAACTAACTTTATATTTTTTGGCCTATCCTGTATGGTGTTTGTCATAAAGCCATTTCAGGTACACCTGGTATAGTTTTGGAACATGCACCAACTTTTGTCAAAAATCGATAATAAAAAGTTTCCCATTTGTTGCACACTTAGTGGACCACACTGTATAAAGTCATACTTGGCACCAATATTCTATTATCAATGTAGATAAAGCGACTCCAGTTTTTTTTTAAGTAAATGGTGTGGAATATCTAAATCGAGATAGAGAGACATGAATATTTGAATGAAGAATAAGCATATTGTTTTTTAGGAAAAATACCTGGTGACGTCTTAAAAAAGTCGAAAGGACTTAATGGGTCAGGATCATATGGAAAATTCAATAGTCCATAAATTTATATTTTCAAATATATCCATAATGTCATTTATGCAACGTATTGGCACGTATCAAACAATTTCTCACTTCCTCACCAGAAATGGAGGCCTGGTCATTTTATGGAAAAAAAAAACTCATATACAGGTTATAAAATTTCCATCACCTTACTTCGATTTCATAGAAGTATATTTCTCAAGAACAGAGAGTGTCTTTAAACCACATTTTTTCCTTTTCCTTCAAAACACGTAGGAGATTCAATGTTAAATTGGAGCTAGCCTTCCATAGTGACATGAGATGTTTAAGGAATCTCGTTACTTTGTGAGCAATCAAAGGTGTCTCGCTAAATGCATGATGAACAGAAGCGATATTGTTCCTATCAAATGATTTGAGGTAAGATATTCACTACACTGACTCTTACATAATATATGAAAACTCAAATCATGTTCACCCAAGATTAAGGAAAATTTCGATGGGGATCTGTTCCAGTCACAGCAACTATCAAGCATCAACTAAGCATTCACTGATTACTTGAAGAAACCAGATCCCAAGAAATACCTTATTCAGATCATTCAGTTCTCTATTCATTTACTGTTATACGCACATTCATTTTGACCAAATTCTCAAATACATACCATTTGGTTTGAGAGCGTTCTTAAGAAGACCATAATAGTGTTCGGTGAAAAGATTAGCTGCTGGGCCAATAGGATCTGATGAGTCTGTAATTATCACATCAAATTCTTCCGAATGGTTTTTCATGAACTCAAAACCATCACATATGTGTAAGGTGACTTTTGGAGAATCAAAGCCTTTAGCCATGAAAGGTAAAAACTTTTTGCTTGCCATGACAACTTTCTCATCAATCTCCACCTGAAAGAAGTATACATACTACGTTATAAAAAACAGATGAGCAAGGATAGTTAGTAGAAAAAATAATTTATCCGAGAGTTAATGAGGGACTGACTATAAACAAAAGCTCAATAAGGTCAGTCACGTAGAGAATTATTGTTTAGAAAGAGAAATTGTGAATAATTTTTATTAACAATGGATTTTCCTTTGGGGACAACATTTTTGGGTCGATCGTAAAACTTAAACCCAGTCTTCAATCACTAAAGATTGTAGATACATCAGTATAATTTTTTGATTACTTGACAAATCCCAAATATTACACCAAATTCACAAAAGGTCTGATTAACTGCATATTTTTCATTTCTCGATATGTCCTAAATTGTTTTGATAGTTATATTTTTATTCAATACTAGCTTTTACCCGTGGCTTCGCTGGCAAATAAGTGTCCGTACAATAGAAATGATATGATTATCATTTTCTAACAATCGCCGAGCTTCACATGCTTCTCTGTATGTTTGACATTCCTGATCAATGACAATTTTAAGATCTGTAAAGTAGCTAGATTTTCGGATTTTTTTGACAAACCGTTTTTTTTATCTTACATAAAAAATATTTTTTTATATATAAAAAGTATCCTATGTTACTTCTAATACCTCCAAGAACATGTGTACATGATAATCGTTTGAGTAGTTTTCGCGTGAAACCGTAACAAACAAACTTACATTCGCATTTATAATATTAGAAGGGGTTAGTAGGGATGTTAGGGATGTAAATATATCATTACTATAGACTACATAGTTGTTTTGATATAAAAGATTAAATTATTATCAATTGACCAATCATTCGGCTTGATATTAGGACACCCGAAAAAAAAATGGAAAACGAAAATATTGAAGACAAAATAATGAAAACGTTTCAAAATTTTCAAATCTTTATTTATCTTCAAAGAATTATAAAAATTCATAAAAAAAGACGATTGTGAATAATAACAATCGAAACGTCGCGACGTGAAGTAGCTTGGTTCGAAATATTTTTTCTATTCTTTTTCATCATTCATCTTCATTGTGTTGTGATGATTACAAGATACTGCTCGCTAAACTCCACCATTATGGGTTCAAAGGTACAGTGTATAATTGGATGGAGTTCTATCTCAACCAGCACAGCTGAGTTATGAGAACACCTAAGCGATTTATTATAATGAGGGATCGATCAACTGTGGAGTTCCACAGGGATCAATTTTTCGACATAATAATGGATGGACTGACTTGATAGTTGATGAAAATTTATAACACTATCCATGATAATAATTACACAACTTTCACCAAATTTGTATTTCTAGAAGCGTTTCGCTAACACCGTAACTTCCTCGGTGGCTTCCTATCGAGGATGCTAAGAAACCAGTCTAGAAATAAAAATGTTTGTGAAAATCGTATACTTACTATTAATATCGTAAATAGTAATCTCATGACTATTGATAATACCTCAACTGTCTGGCACTGAACATATCCAAGAGGAATTTTTAGTCATTCAGATGCGATTTGGCTAATTTGAACATAGGCAATGGCTATATTACAAACTGTGCCAGTGCTGAATTTCTAGGAAAATTAAAAGTTGATAAACATATCACCAATATGAACAAACAACTGGGTGGTGGATAGAATCCCAGTTAGAATTTCGGGAGTTAGCAGAACAAATCTTATCAACAGAGCTTTTGTATTGCAGATGCATATTGTTCTATACCTGGCCGAGGCAAAGCTTAAGGACTCTCATAAACTCCTTGTTCTTCGCTTCAAAATTTGCACAGTATTCACTCTTTCAATTACTGAAACAGTATGTCTCAGAAAAACACAACTCAACAGTTTCAATGCGGCTTCGAGTTACTACAGCAGTCGTCAGGCATATACCAATGCTAGTATCAATCTGCCAAGGCAAAATACTTCGGGAGAAGGAATACCTGATTTACAATAGTTGCAAAATGTCCAGCGCTCGTCAAGTGATTTGGGAGTCATTTATGATATTGAAAGGTTTCGAGAAGTTGTAATCATTTTATTTCGGATTCGACCATACTACAATATGAATGAATTTTTTGAAGATACTTTTTAAATTCCGTCTTTTATATCCCTCCTGCGGTGTTTTTCAGTTTGATTTATTACTTGTCTCATTATTGTTTCATTATCACTATTGTTTTGCAATAAAACGTATTCGGTTTCTGATTCATTATTTTTATTTTTATTTTTCATTGTTTACATATTATTAATATTCCAGTTATAATTTTGTCCATTTGTGTACTCAAAAAGTGCGCAACCTGTCTTACAAGAAAGGGGTTGTTCTTTCGTGTCGGAAGATTGCTCGCGTTCAGCCTATTCCCAAAAAGGGCAAGAAAACTCTTCCAAATAATTATAGGCCAAACGCTTTACTATCAGTGATATCAAAAATCATGAAGAAAGCCGTGAACCAGCATATCCACGAATATTTGAAAGGCTTCAACATCTTGAGCGATCATCAATATGGCTTTCAGAAACAAAGAACAACAGGTGACTTGCTATCGTATGTCACCCTTATTTGGAATAACGCAATCGAGAAACCTGGAGAGTCAAGAGTTGTTGCGATTGATATTTCTGAGGCCTTTGACCGTGTGTGGCATGAGGATTTGCTGGGCAAACTTCGATGATATGGCTTGTCTGATCGTTTTTGTGTGTGGCTCTTCAGCTTCCTGAAAAAAACGTTGCCTGCTAGTGACCGTCGATGGATATCTCTTGAATACTTTCACCAACAACGCTGGTGTTTCCCAAGGATCCATATTGTCTCCAACCCTCTTTCTATTTTATATCAAAGACTCATCGGAAAAAACAAGGATCCGAGACAAGTGTGCTGATGACAGCACACGTCATTATATTTGGATTCCAGGACATCGGCTGCGGCTGCACATCTTCACCGGTAGCCGGAGGTTGAATATCTTAATGGGTTGAAAGTAACTAGGTTCAATTCAATGCCACAGAAACCCAGGCCTCGATGATTTTCTCCAAAAAGATAAATGTTTCCAAACCTGATATAATAATGTCAGGTCAGACAATTACACTTTCTGCTTCAATGAGTTTGTTTGGGGTTGAAATGGACCCCAATATGCCTTGCAACAATCATGTCACTGAAATTGCAAAGGCTGCTTCTCAAAAGCTTAGAACACTGTTCTGAACCAGAAAACTGTACACGCCTCAGCAACTTCCGATGATTTATAAAGCTCAGAACAGAACTTTTTTGGAGTATTATTCTCATGTATGGAGCTCCGCTCCCAAACATACTCTGAAGCTGCTGGATTCCATCCAGAAAATAGCCATTCGCCTGACTGGAGACGCGAACATCACTTGCAACCTTGATAGTCTGGAACATCGAAGAAAGGTTTCTCTCTTCTATAGATACTTTCACGGGAAGTGTTCAGGTGACTTGGCACATTTGGTTCCACCAAGAGCGGTACATATCAGAAATACGCGACGGAATCACTAATTTCGCCCAGACACCGCTCTAAGAACGCCTCGAGAATTTTCCTGTAGTGCTTGTAAAATTAGCATTTTTATATTTTCGAATTGAAGACTCATTTTGTTTTTATCTTGTTTGAATTATTTCGTTGCAACTAACTCAGTCAAATATTTCTGTCCTCTTTCGCAGGCCCGTTTCTTCTGCTGCTGTGGCAGACATCATCAGTGGTATATGTGCGTATATATTTTTCTGAAAATATAAAATAACTCAAATGTATGTTTCTGAATTTCAAATTGATTTTACTTGTACTGCACCCGATTTGAGACAATTACTTTTATGGAATGACTCAAAACACTAGAGACATGATAAATTATTATTGTAAATCAATTATTATTACTGAATTCAATAAATCAACAGTTCAATATTTCTCTATTCAAAGATTGACATCATTCACGGACATTTAGTGATCTGTCAAAGGCAACCGTCTGTGTTTTTTACCTGAACAACTTCCTCCACCATAGGATGTTTCACTACCTCACGTGCCACACCTCCATCTCCACCTCCAACAATCAACACTTTTCGCGGATTAGGATGAGAACATAGGGGTAGGAAAGTTAACATTTCTTGGTACGAAAATTCATCTTTTTGGGTGCACTGAATGATTCCATCCAAAACTAGAACGGTTCCATTATGTTTCCTGTAGATAAAAAAGTAAAGATACTATGCTAAATAATGATTATTTTGCTGTTTTTCAACTCCAACACTGATAAGATAGTATAGTTCCCAATTTTTTAGGTAAGTAATAAGTATGATAAGCTCTGTAGAATAGACAAAATCAGAACAAATGCTTTGTCTTTATTCATTCCACAATCCATTCGAGTTAACGTACCTCAAAATACATACTTTCTTCGATAGTTCAAACAAAAACATAATATATATTCATCAAAAAATAGGTATTCGACTCTCAGGTTATTCCCCCATACAATTCAAAAGATTGATAGAATACATAAGGAATAACACTTCCAAAATACAAATCATGAAATTATAAAACAACAACAAAAATTAATTGGTGCTCCGGGACGACTTCATTGATTCCAGTGGCGCATTTGCTTTTTCAGCTGCAGGAAAACCCGGAAAAACCTGCAGCACCACATCATCTGAAAATCTTGATCTGCCAATGTTATCTCTTTCATAAAACAAAATGAGGCTCCAAAAAATTCAATACGTCGCCAGAACACTTAGTGACACGACTATCGTCAAACTTAAACCAGTCTATTTCGTCTTTGACCAAGGCGTAATAATGGCCAGATTCAACGCCAGAACCACAGTGAACAATGACTGCATGAAGATCATAATAGTGGTCTGCTACATTGAAGTGTTCATCTATTTCGAACCTTCGTAAGAGTTTGGTGTTGAAAATATTCCCCTTAACATCTGTTCATTTGCTTTAATCTTGAAACTATATTTGACAAAACTGAAATTTTTAGAGATTTTAACCAATTTGATGTAGTAGTTAGTCCCTTTGGATATGAAGTTTCATATTTTAAGAAACTCTTAGGGTTTCTAGACGTCAAGGTCGTAGGACTTCTGAGAAGAGATTTTTTTTATGATGTTTTTAAGAATATATTTTTTGTAAAAACAGTGTGTCCAACAATCTTTTCAAATTATATTGCATTCTTCCCATATCTCCAGAAGGATAGCAGAAAAATTGTCAGAATTTTATTACATGCAATTGTAGCAAGGTTTCAATTACCAAGGTTATCTCTTACATAGCATATATGCTCCTATATAGGCAAATTCATAAGCAAAAGTCCCAAATGTACTTTTTATCATTCAATCTTGATTCCTCTAAGAGTTGTATAATGGTGCGTGTTAATTGCAATTTCAAAGAATAAAAAAAATGATTATGTTCATTCAGCAAGTCCCAGGAATTAATAAGAAGACAATATTTGTCCGTCTAATTGATTTTTACTCATCTACTCTCATTAGAAATATTTTTCCTTGGCTTCAAAGTAAGCTTCAGTTGCGGTGATAATTTCCTCATCGGAGTCAAATCCTTTTTTCTGGAGCATCTTTCTGAAATTATCAAAGAGCCAGTAGTCACTGGGGGCTAGATCTAGAGAGTATGGTAGGTAGAAAAGTAGATTGAAGCCTAACTCATTCAATTTGGCGATTGTTTCATTAACTTGTGTTACGGTGCATGTCTCGATGAAAGATTTTTTTTATTCATATGCAGTAGCTGTAGCTGTCCTTCAAACGCATCAGTAACTCAATGTAGTAGTCGCTATTAATGTATTTTCCCTTTTGAATGTAGTTTATGGAAATCATACTGTGCACATCCCAAAAACTAACGTCCTAACTTTATCAGCTGACTGTTGCTGATATGTAGGCTCTTACCGCCTTCACGTCAATCAGCTGACTGCCACTTTGAATATAGAGTGAAAAGGTGAAACCATGTTTCGTCCTATGTCACATACCGACGCAAGAAATTCTGTTTATTAATAGAGAATCGTCGACTCGTTAGATTTCTTCCAATGTGAACAAACATGGCATCCATCCACTTCCAGTTAATATGTTTGCCATCTCAACAATCTCACACGACTTTCAAAACGTTCTTAACTTTCCGTGAGTGGCGCTTCGTTTCTGAGCATAGATAGTGGCGGCGGACTGAGAGTCCGCATACCTTTTTGTCCCCGAAATTGTGAAATACAGTACGGATGACTCTTTTTTTTTCATAAAAAAAACATTTTGAATGATTATATTTCATTTTACATTTATTCCTTCATTTATTTCATTGTTACAAAGCATGAACATCGACAAAAATATAATTATTATATCCTAACAAAACATACAAAAGTGTTCAAGACATATTATCAGAATAACAATCTGTACAAACACAAGTTGAATGTTCAAGGCACATAAACTTGGTACATTTTTTACAAGAAAACCGCGTTGGTCTATTTTTTTTTCGGTCGCAGTAACTGCATCGACCTTTGGAATTTTCAGGCTGGGGAATGGGAGTAGGATCGTGTATCTCAAACAATTCTTTGATTCGTAGTGTTATCGTTTTTGGAATATTCTTCTGCATAGCACGAAAACGAATATGGTTTTCGGTTAACGCGGCTGATAGTTTATGCAAAAATAGCCTCCTAGCTATTTTATCAGAATTCTGCAAATAAAAAAACACCAAGGAATTCACTCCAGCCATATTCAGCATAGCGTAAAAAATAAACATAGGCCATCTTGATGTGTTTCGGGCGCAGTCATAAGCAGCACACATTTTGTCCAAAGTGTCAACTCCGCCTTTAGTGTTGTTGTAATCAACAATCCTCTCAGGTTACGTTTCGTTTGGTATTCCTAATAGGCTCAACCATTCTTTGCACAAGTGCTAAACCTGAATTTTCCAAAGCGTATGGACCAGTGGGTTGTTTACCAGTATACACATCTAAGTTGGTAGTATAAACTGTTTTGAATCAACTAGAGCATATATTTTCAGCCCGTATTTATTAGGTTTGCTCGGAATATATTGGCGGAAGCTGCATCTACCCCGAAACGCTTCTAGCTTTTCGTCCATTGTAACATTTTGATATGGAGTGTACGCAGATTTGCAGTTAGCAACAAATGCGTCAAAATATTCTCGAATCGGGCATAATTTATCAATTTTTCTTCTTTCTGATCGAGAATTGAGATCATCAAATCTAATATGTTCAAGTAAAAACTTAAAACGGGTCTTTGACATTGTTAGACGGAATTGCTCAACACCTGTCCCGCTGTTGTTCCACAATTCAACAGCATTCAGACGGCTAGATTTGATTACTCCCGCCAAATAGAGTAGTCCAATTAGAGCCTGTATTTCATTTACGTCGGTTTCCTTTATTTCACGGGTATAATCATCCTTTTTATTTCGAATATGCATATTGGTATACTCTACTATTGTACTTAGCATTTCGTTATTGAAAAAGTATTTCCAAATATCTAGAGGTGTTTTCAAATTTTTTACAGCTTCTTTAGCACCTGGCATACGAGTGATCAAGTTTACAGCCCTGGTCCGTGATGTGGGAGAATGGTGTTTCGCCCACTTAGTTTTCCGATCTTTTCCGATGAAGTAAGGTACTCCTGAGGGCATTGTTTCTACGTCACCATCCTCAGTCTCTTCCTCCGAATTAGAATCTATTTCATGCGTTTCTATAATATCCTCTTCGCTGTCTTTTGTCGGAGTCGTTCGGGTCGTCTTCAGTAACTATATTTTCATTGAGACACTCTAACATTAGTTGCTGTAATCGTTCTTGCTCTTTTTCGTATGACGCCATCTAGTAAATTAATAATTATTCAGTAAAAGTAACAATTTTCAGAATAATATTTCTTACCTTTCATGGAATACGAAAAAAAAACTACAAAACTTGCAAATTTTAATCTGTAGAATATTAAAGTAATTTTTACTGGCGGCGGATTCTCAGTCAGCATTCAGGTACCAAAACTAAATGACTGCACTTCTGTGCGGCTTACGATACACTGATGACCACAACAGTAAGTCCAAGGAATACAGAGTGCTGCGGGATGGTTGGGCAGAGGAAATTGAAATGAAGTACGGAAATATTTGGTTGCGGAATGTGAGTCCGCGCGCCAGTCACGGAAGGTTAATATTTTCCGAAGTTACTGCTTCATTTGGCCTACTCGAGCGTTCCGCATCATTTTAAAAACGTTTGTTTTATACTCATAAAAAATTTACGAATCGTATTATAAATTTCCACTCGTAAATTCTCTAGGACAACATAAGTATCTTCAAAATATAAAAGCTATCCTATTCTCCAACGATGATCCAAATATGTCTATCAATGATCGGTTAGCAGGGATCAAAGTTGTTCAACATATCAAAACCGCCTTGCATGACGGTAAATGATCGGGATCACAGGAAATAAATAATTTTAATATATCAATAGCAATATAATTTTTGTATTAAACTAACCAAATCTTAACTATTATACCAGGTGGCGAAAATTTAATTGCTATTGCTATCTCGATAACAATAGAAGATACGATGTTGGTTAGAATACAATGGAATTATATTGAGATATTGTGAGCCGTTCTCGAAAGAATCGAAATATAATTGTAATAGTTGGTTTTGATTTTTATGCCCTGGTATCTTTATTATGCAGAATATGAAAAAAATGTATGAATGTTTTTGATTGAACTTCATGAAGATTATACCATGCACTGATTTAATTATCCATACAACGTGTTCCACTACTCGTATTTTCGTGTACAATGTACTGGAGTGGAACGCTGAGTAAAAGTTATGAATAATATATAGATATCTGCAAGGTTAGGAAAGGCATAATGATTTACAAAAATACAGGTCCATATTTAAAAAAAAACGTGTGCGTATCGTTGAACTATTTAATATTGAAATTGTTCAATTTGAAGAAAGCTTAGGTTATCACTTAAATTTTATGTATGTCAATATGATAATGTAAGGAAAGGTTATTGATTATTGAAATATTTTATTAATTATTTTGTACATAAAGGTACATATACTGTTACTTTTGTTGGAATAAATAACGATCTAATAATGTACATACACAAAATTAGTATCATCATTTATAAGCCACGTTTTCTATAATGAAAAAATATTACGTGCTTGCTGGTTAGATTTTTATAATACT